ACTCTTCTCACTTTATCAGCTAATTGAGCCATATCATTCAACGGTAAATTAACTAACTTTTTCCTAATCGAGAATTCTAAGCCTGCAGAGGCCATTCTGACTAATTCATGTTCAGGAATTTGAGTAAAACATCTCGACTTTATTTGTCTAAATCTATTCAAATAATCATCTATGCTTTCATGATTGTATCTCTTTATGTTCATTAAATCGATGAGACTTACTTGAGTCTCTCCTCTAAAGAATTGTTCATGAAAATTTCTTTCCAGTTGCAACCAATTATATATCGAATTGGGTGGCAACGAAGTGAACCAAGTGAAAACATTTTTAGTTAATGAACTAGGGAAATATTTCATTTTTAATTCTTCACTCATCGCTAGATCCCCACATTTGATCTGATATCGAGCCACGTGCTCGATAGTGGATTCACCAATTTCCCCAGCAAATTTGGTGAATTTAGGTACTTTGTATCCTCGAGGTAATTCTGTCTCGAGAATAGCATTTGGAAAAGGAGAAACAAAATACGTTTGATTGGGTGGTCTTAACTCCATTCCTTGGGAATTCATCCTTTGCCCTAACATGTGATTATACTGCATATTATTTTGATTGTACATATTTTGAAATCCCTCATTCAGATTCCCATAAATCTCATTCCTCACATGTTGATATTCATTTCCCATATGCTGATATTGATCATTGTTTCGATTTCTCCTCAATAGATACGGGGGATTGATATTAGCATTTTGGCTAATATTCTGATTGGCATGATTTTCCGCTCTTGTTTGTCGAGGTATAGCCAATGCATCCCCGATACGTGACATTTGGTCTGCTAATATCTCAAAACTAGCAGTAGTGTTTTGAACTAATGGATTGAGGACTGTAGTCAACTGTTGTGATAACATATTCACCATCTCAAAATTGCTCTCATCCATTTGTTGTCTAAGTATTCCTAATGAGTTACTGGAGATCCCAGTACTAGTGTTTTCAATAGTCTCAAAATTGGATCGATGATAATCTCTATCGAATGCGTTTCTCCTATGATCCAAATTTGCTCTGTGATCTAGATTTGGAGGTGTCTGTTGTGTACCTAAATTCTGCCCACTCCCTGAATTCTGGGGGTTACTAAATTTTGAGACGCCCCTAAATTTGGAGAGACTCCAAAATTTTGCGACATACCTAGAGTTTGAAAAGTACCTAAATTCTGAGGCATTCCTAGGTTAAATCTCGAGTTTCGTTGTATCGAGGAGGTACCAGCCCCATTCATATTATTAGGCGAAAAACCAGGTGGTCTTACGCTCATATACGACCCTGCATATGTTGTTATGGGGTTCTCCATCATAGTACTAGATCCTACTTGAGTGTTTGCTAATGTACCTGAATTTTGTTCATTACTCACAGGTATCGACATACTCCCAGTCGTCGATATTACAGACATATTTCCATTATGACCTTGCCCCCCAGTGTTTGGTGGATGTGAACCATTTAGACCCTCATTGTTATTCTGGTTATTTGGTGGGTTTTGACTCATCCTTATAACTCGCCCACTGCTTAATCTCATACACTTTCGAACTAACCAATTTTGTGTTTTTCAACACAAATTTCCCCTACCTGGCGCGCCAATTTGTTTCTGGTGGAATTTTGATTGATTTCGATTTCGAGGGAATTTTGTTCTAACCAAATCCCAACCACGTAGATTCTTTTTACTTAGGCTAGCAAATGATTTTCAATCGGAATATGTATGAGAATCGAAAAGTACCACAAATCTTAATGTAACCTAATGACAATCGAAAGCGCTATTTTTTTTTTTTTGGTATTTTGTATTTGAAGTATTCGAAATGAGGAAAACAGTAAAGTGATAAATCGAAAAGCAGTACTGAAAGTAAAACTGCGAAGGAATGTAAAATGCGGAAACTTCAAATTTGCATTAAGTGTAAAAGCATCGAGATTGCGGAAATATAAATAACAGGAAATCGAAATTACAGAAATGTAAATAGCAGGAAATCGAAATTACAGAAATGTAAATAGCAGGAAATCGAAATTACATAAATGTAAATAGCAAGAAATCGAAATTACAGAAATGTAAATAGCAAGAAATCGAAATTACAGAAATGTAAATAACAAGAAATCGAAATTGTGTTAATATAAATGACAAGGAACCTAAACGCAGAAATTTAACTTTCTTTGAAGGAAAATGACAAGGAATCGAAAATACAGAAACTTAAAGTTGCTAAACATAAACTGCATCAAAGTAAATTACCAGGGAAAATAAAGAAAATGGTAAAGGAAATCAATGAACATGGAAATCCAGATCGCCAGAAACTTCATGATGTTCGTCGTTCTCCGGTAGACTTCTCACTAGTATTCCTGCTCTCTCTGCCAATTTCCACGCTCCCTTTTTCCCTTCATCCTTCGCTCTATTTATAGAGCATCTTTCAAGTAATCTCTTAGGAGCAGTTAATGAAAACTACTACCACGTTCTGTGTGCATGTCTTTTGTAGTTTTACTCTTAACTCTACGGTTTAGAAACTGCCTTCACGTTCCCATACATGAGGTAACTGCTTCCTTGACCTTCGACCTTTGCCACCGCTTATCATGTTCGATGTGCACGTCAACTGTTCCTTTCTTTATAACTTAGCCGGGATTTCGATACATGGGTTAACCTTTCCCCGATGTTGATTTCAGAATCTCGAGAACGTTTGACTTGCCTTTGATTTCTCTTAACCTTAACATTACATAATTCTGATTTCTCGATTTCATTCACTAACGGATATTAAACATTCTTCCTTCGATTCTCGATTCTAATTCTCGCTTATATTGTCACATGGTCGTCGAACGTATTTTCCAACTATCTTTCAATTTATCAGTCTTTAACTCAATCAAAATGGTTCTCGATTTTTGCTCCCATTTGTTTCTCGATCCCTTTATCGATTTCCCACTAACGAGATAGTGTTTTTATTTTTCTTCGGAATATATTGTGTAAAACTTTAGAAATAGTTGGGTTTTAGTATTGATTGAATTATGTTTTTGGATTAAATTTAATCTTTATTCGTTTTTAACTTATGTAAATATAAGTGATAGGAAAAAAATGAATGTTATAAATAATATATTTTTAAAGAAAAATTATTCGAATAAAAATATTTAAATAAAATTTATATTAATTTATTTATCAATCTAGATTTTATATTTTTTTCTCATTTTTTTATTTTTTTTCTCTTTTATTTTCCACCCCTTCAATTTTTTTATCTCTTTTTTTTTAAGTTTTTTTCTCTTCACTTCCATTTACAAAAAAATACTATATTTAAACTTAATAAAATTATATTATTTAAAAAAAATATTAAAACTAAAAGAGATATAATTAATTATTTAAATTTATAATGTCAGTAAATAATTTATTATGATAAATGAAAATAATTAATTTAAAATTATTTTATTATAATAAATTAATTATTTAAAATTAATTAAAAATATTAAATATTTATGAGTTGATTTTTTATTTATTTAGTAATTTAATATAGTTATAATTAGATAGGTTATTATGATTAATAAGATTAAATAACTTGAAAAAATATTTAATAAAAATACTTTAAAATTAATATTTTAATGTTAATTTTAAAAAATATATTATGTTTCTATCAAATTTTAATACAATATTTTTATGTAAAAAAATAAGATAGAGTGGAAAAAAAAGAAAAAGTATTAAAAAAATAAAAAAAGAAACAAATGAAACGAAATAAAAAAATAATAAGAAAGAAAAAGTAAAGAATTTTATTTTTCATAATCAAATTCATTCAAATTGAACGTATGAATAGAAAATAGATCTAATTAGATAAAATTGATAAAATTTAAGTAATTTTTTAAAAATATATTATTTATAATATTAATATTTTAATTAATATATTTTGAATTATATGATTTTTATATAAAAATTTAATAATAATTATATTTTTTAATTAGTTATTTTGGATTTCATCAAAAGAAACTATGTAATGATATATAATCTTTAAGATATTGTATGTGTTGTGATGGTATTTAAAAAAAATTATATTTTTGGAAGTTTTATTATATATGAGAGTTATATACATTTTTTAGAGTTGAACTTTTATTGACCTATTGATTATTAAGCAGATTATTAATAAATTACGATTTCAATGTAGTTTAACTTTTTTAATAGTTATTAAACATATATTTTTTTTACAATAATTATGTATTAAATAGTTGAAATATGTATCTCTCACGCAATAGAAGATATAAAAGCCTATACTGAATAGTTTTGTCAGGACCCAGTTTTACAAAACCCTATTTTATAAACGATAGGTTAATTTTTAAAATTACATGTAAGTGTGAAAACAGAATTATCTTTAGCGGACATCTTTCTACCGACACAACATTTGAAATTCAACTCCGGACTGCAATCTTAATGATATTGTCTCCTGTTTTTACTAGAATCTAAATATCTTCACCGTACATTAAATATTTAACTACTTTAATTTAAATGTTACGATATTATTATAAGGAAAAAAGAAATTAACAAACATGCATTTATCTCACTGGGTTGCATTGTTTCATCATCTTTTAATAAATTTAACAAAAATATTTTTTTTTATATGTCTCTATTACAAATATGGTTATTTGTATTATTATAAAAAAAATAAAGAAGTAGTAAAAAAAAAACAAATCAGATGAATTAATTATTTTTTATTCATATAATTTGATCTAAACAACATTATAAAACAGACAGTGATTAACTGAATCAAATATTACACATACGTAAAATAAAAGGGTGTGATAAGACATCATTTTGGGCACATTACAAAAGTTACTACAGTATGGATATATGGTTCACTTGGGTTATAAGTTATAAGTTGTGTTGTGATTTACCAGTGGAGTAACGCAGTAGTCATTTTACTTACCAATTAGTAACCACATCATTCTTCTTCACTTTTCACCTCTTCCCAAAACCCTCGCCGCAATTTCTTTTTCCTTTTTTCTTTTTTTACCATTTTATGGACCTCTTCGCCGCCGACCACTTCCCCGTCCCCGACCACGTCGCTCCATTTCCCGATTCTGGCGACCTCCTTTTCGCTGCAGACCTTCTCTCTCACCGCCACAACCCCCAGAAGCTCCGGCCCATTCGGTCCCTCCCCTCCGCCCTCAATGCCCACCCTCATCCGCCCGATCCGACTTTATCCGGGTCGGGTCACGCCCCGAGCCACGAATCTGAGTGAGTCCATTTATTTTCTCCCAACCCTACCTCTGGTTCTCTCTTTTTTATCTCATCAATTATTAATAAAATCCCCTTTTATCCCCACCGTTATTTTTAATTATTAATTTGGTTTCAATTTGTGTGGCTTTTATCTTCTATCTTTATGTTTTTATTATACCCTGTCTTTGCGGAATGGGGTGAAACGAACAATCAATGAAGTGATTTCCTTTTTTATTTTTTTAGTTGATTGAAAAAAGATTGTGATTGGTGGTGGTGGCAGAGTGTGTTGTTTTTTGATGGGTGCGTGCGATTAGGCGTTAAGCACGACCTTGTGCATAGAACAACATGTTGCATTGCAGGGTTGGCCATTCGATGCTATAGGCTGTGTTGAGTCTTTATGAGAGAGAATAAGAGACTGAGCCCACAACTTGGTACTTCTTTCATCATCCTTTTCTGATTAGAATACTTTGATTTGTGGCGTTGTGCTTGTGGTGGATAAAGAAAATAGATTGTACGGTGTATTATTATTATTTATAGTTGGGGCAAGTGTTATGTTTTATTGGCACACAAGTATTTGTAGGATATAGAATTTTCTGTGTGGTAATTGACAAACAAGCCTTGTGGGCAAGGTCTTCCGGAATGAAACCATTTCCCCAATGGTTCAGCAACTCAACTACTGTCAAAGAATTAATTACCCTTTATTTACTACCGAGAGTTGAGTCTGGTGAAAGAGTTAATCTCTTATAACATGCCAAATCAAGGTTCGGAATTTTACCAAAAGAGATGTTTCATTTAGTACTGAGAGTGTTTCGAACGAGATTCACTCTGACACACATGTGGGAAATAAAAAAAACTCTTTCATGACAGTTTCAAGATTAGTTTGGACTGTTCTTTTGATTTGTTCTTCCTTGTTTCAGCTCGGCTTTGGATGCTGAGGATGAAGATGAGGATGATGACAATTCATCAGCAAGTACCGAAGGAAATGGCCCTAGAAAAAAGAGGAGAAAGACGGTGAGAAAGCTTGAAGGTTTTGTGAAGGATTTGGTGACAAAGGTGATGGAAAAGCAAGAGCAGATGCACAAACAGTTGGTGGAAATCATAGAAAACAAGGAAAGGGAAAGGATAAAGAGAGAAGAAGCTTGGAAGAATGAGGAGATGGAGAGAATTAGAAAAGATGAAGAGGCTAGAGCCCTAGAAAAGTCTCGCAATTTGGCCCTCATATCCTTCATTCAGAATCTGTTGGGCCACGAAATTCAAATCCTCCAACCAGTAGAAACAAGCAGCAAAAGAGAAGAGGATGAAGTTGAGGTGAATGCTCAAAAAGAATTGAACAGTGATCCTAGTAAGAATAGATGGCCTGATGTTGAAGTACAGTCACTTATCACTGTGAGAATTTCATTGGAGCACAAGTTTCGTTTGACGGGATCAAAAGGGTCAATATGGGAGGAGATATCTGAAGCAATGCATGGGTTGGGCTATAATCGCTCTGCAAAGAAGTGTAAGGAGAAGTGGGAAAACATTAACAAGTACTATAAAAGGACAATAGGGAGTGGCAAGAGAAAGCGTCAAAATAGTAAAACTTGCCCCTACTTTGATGAGTTGGACATTCTGTACAGAAACGGCCTCCTAAGTATTGGAAATGCCTTGAGCAATAACACTGATGCTCCCCAGATTGAAGAAAAGGAGTAGAGTGAGACTTGAATACTACTTGATAGTCACAGATACGCCTTATGTACAAGTTCGTTTACTCATTCTTCTTTTGAGTTTCTTCACCGATGACTTCAGTGAACAATATCCCAACCTTTAACTCTGCTTTTACAAATTTAAATATTGTGTTCATGGGGTTGATATTTATATTTTTTTGGTTCGGGTGTCTTTTCACATCTTTTTGCGGTTACTTTGAAATTGGATTTTCAAAAGGGTAAAAAGAAGGATATACTTTTTAATGTCAGCAAAGGTAGTTTTTCACATGCTTTTTAGTATCTGCTAGTTGTTAAATTAAAATTCTAATATTGATTTCAAAACTATTCAGAAAACACAGCACTGCATTTATCTTTTGTCCAAGATAATAAAGGTGACTAAGATAGTTTAAGTGTAATTTCTATCTGTTCAGTTCTAATTGGAGTAAACATTTATATATTAAAAGTGGTTTGTGAGGGGATATTGAAAAAATTGATGGGAACATAATTAGGCTCGGAAGTTGTATAAATTGTGTCTTTGAAAGAAGTATTGGACTATTCACTATCTAGTGTCTTCGTAATTCTTGATATATTTTTTTATTATATAATGAGAAAATATGTAATTATATTAAAGTCAACTAGAGGAAAAACTTATCTACCTGTAGTGATGAAAGAAGAATCAAACGTGTGAAACTAGGGTTCCAAAAATGATGTAATGTAGATATTGGGTCTTTTCCGTAATGAGCTTCAGATAAAGGCGTTTAATCTATTTATTTTGAGAAAACTTATTTATTCCAGTTTATGCTCTACAAAAGCCTAAGCTACTTTAAATTAAACGCTCATAAAACATTTCATAAATTCTTTTTAAATAAAAAGCTTAGGACGTCAAATGTTAACCAAAATTCTTTCCACTTTCCTAATTTAATTATCTAACTAATACCTTCAAAATTTTCAAAAATTAACCAAAATAAAATGAAAAATATACTATAATTTAAAAATAACCTAAATATTAACAAAAACTAAATTATAAAGGATTATATTTTTTATTATTTTATTTTGGAGAATAAAAATTTGAGAAAAATGAATTATTAAAAATAAATAACGAAGGTATAACATGAATATATATTATATTTTTTCTATTGTACAAATGGTTAAAGTAATCTTCTTTATGTATTATTATAAATTATATGAAATAAGAGACACATAATAATATATTTATATGTGAATTTAAATAATTTTAAATATCCGACAATTAGAATACTATGCATAACGTATACATTTTTTTTCTTAATATGAAACTAAGTTAAATTTGTGACACTAAGAAACTAAGAATAGTATAAAAGAAAACCTTATAGTGTTATTAAAAAAAGGGTTAAAGAGAATCATAAGCTATAACTAATTTTAAAGCTTATCAAAATAATTTTCTAATCGATTTTAAGGGTTAAAAAGTAATTTACATATATCTTTCTTAGTATTAATATTTTGATCTCAATGTCTATCAAATATTGTTAGGGTTAGATATAAAACATGGTTTATTTTGATATATATGATGATTTTATTATAATGTTTTTTCCTGAAAAGATATGTTGACGAGTAGAAAGAAACAGAAGATTTATAATTACATTATCTTAGATTTTGAAATTTAAAATGATGCGACACTCTTGTATTTTAAACATGATTCAATTTCTCTGATTTTCATTTTATAGATTCCTATATCCATCTTGAGAATATGTGAAGAATAGTAAAGTGAAAATTTCAAAATTATGTATCTTTCACTGATAGTTGAAGTATTTAAAACTTATAATTGAGTTGATTGAAAATGTATCTTTCGTAATGCTATTATTAACAATTAAAAGCATGTACGAAGACCTATATATTACTAATTAGAAATGAAACGAAACTTCATTGCTAAAATATGTAAATTAATGTTCACGTGTTATGATATGACAAATCTATGTGACATAATATTTCAATTCTTAACTATAGTCACACTATTCGAATATATATATATATATATATAACGTGCCAAGTGGGCGAAGATTGAGTAGTTATGCATTGAAGGTGATTTTATAATATAAAAGATTTTGTTTTGTAGTTATTTATATATTCCATTACATGGTTGTTTTAGTTTTTTTTTTCTTTTTAAAATTTTATTTTATGTTTATTGATCTCCAATAATTCATAATTTCAAATTTTTTTTAATAAATTAAAATAAAAAATATAATAAAAATGCAGATATACATACACCTATATTTCTGCTAATATATACAATGTCTGTTTTATAAACATAAGTTATTTCAGTTACATATCTTATAAAGAGTTTGATTTTTTATGTTATTAATGCAAAACAATTTAATCTTTAATTAATTAGAGATTATATTAAATCTAATTTTTAAAATAGCTATTGTATACAAATATTTTTCAATTATATAATCATCTATAATTAAATTATACTGGTAAGTAATGATTGTATTATTAATATATTTTATTTAATTATTATATTTTTATTTATAATAATTAATTACAAATGTTGAAAGTGTATTTAGTAGTCAGGAATTTAACCTTAAGAGATTGAAACTCATAATCATCGAGAGCAACAACCAGTTGTTAATAAAAATATGCTTTTGTCGAGTACAGATTTAAGTTATATAAAAAATGATTCATACAAAAAAGATTAATGACAATGACGAAATCAGATATTTAGTTAAAGATTTATTTTGGCTTTTATTGATAATATATATTTGTACATATTTTAGGATGTGAACGCTTTTGATTCGTTTTATTTAAATCCTAGTATTTAAAAATTATTTTGTTAATCTTGAAATATTTTAAGTTTAAGCATTAATTTTTTTATCAGACACTAAGCATTAATTCGATCTTGATTGTCGTTATAAATAACACAAATTGTTTTCTTAATTTTTTTTCTCAACACTTGAACACATGAACTTGAATACTGCTTGTTAACCATAACTTTTTGTTATGAGATTCAAGATATGTTTTGACTTTAATTTATTCATTTTAATTGTTTTCTTTTTCTTTTGTGAATACTTAACATAATACATTGTGAAGCAAAACTCTGCGACATGCAGGAATTTTGATATAATATATTTCGCCAGAAAAAGCAAAACGGGCGAGTTTTTCATTTTGGTGTAGAAATTTTCTTAATTTTAATGAGACATATATATACCAGTTCATAGTAAAATATAAATTTTCTTAACCCAGGCTATGAAGACTATAATTGTGTAATCACAAACCTAGTTTTTGTGTCTTGTCAGTGTGATTTCACTTTGTCTTGGATGTCATGGAAAGCAAAAAAAGGAGCCAATGAAGGTAAACTGGCTTGTCATTAATTTGATGAAGTAAGTTATTATTATAATAGTTAATTATATGTTTACACTCGTATGAATATTCAATCATTATTATTATGTGAAGAAAAACAAAAAAAAGAGTAACTGTACACTTTTGGTGCTACAGTGTTCCCATTACGCATCATATGATAGTTGGTGTTGCCCAGCCAGGGTGCCAGCTTGTGAATTATTTCAATTATGATCCCATGGGTTCACGGGTTCTCTTAACTACTAATTTAAAACAAATACACCAAGTTAGTTACCTATAAAATCCCCCTCACACTTCTCTAACTTTCACCAAACTAAATACCACTCACAAGTCCTAAAACTTTTCTTCTTATTGGTTGAGTGAAATGGCTTCCAAGGGCACTGTTGCGTCAACTTATGTTGTTGCCCTACTCCTTTGTGTCAACATGCTTTCCTACACCATGGTGAGCTCAACGTACATCCCTGTAATTCCAGACCCATCAGTGCCCTACCAAAAGGGTACATGTCCTATAGATGCACTTAAGTTGGGGGTGTGTGCCAAAGTGTTGAACTTGGTCAATGTTAAATTGGGGTCACCACCAACCCTCCCATGCTGCAACCTGATTCAGGGTCTGGCTGATCTTGAAGTTGCTGCATGTCTTTGCACTGCCATCAGAGCTAACATCCTTGGCATCAACCTTAACCTCCCAGTTTCCTTGAGTCTACTTCTCAACAACTGTGGAAGGAAAAGCTCAAACATTGGTTTCCAGTGCCCTTGAGTTCATCTCTCGTTCCACATACTCCACATGTTGTCTTCCTCATATTTCGTATCTCTTTATGGTTGTTTTCTCTTTTCAATTCATGTGTATTATTATTTTTGGCGCTTGCCATGCATCTTAAATTCTCACTCTTTCAACATTGTTCTACTATTGAACGGAGGATTACTCGTCATCCTCGTCGTCAGCATCTTTGATTGCATGTGTAGAAGCTGTGCTACCAATAAAATTATATGTGATTCTTATTTCCGGAGAAATTTGTCATTTGGCGTCAAGCATATTTTTAAAAGTAACCTAAAAAGCTTTATTTAAGGGTTAGTTGTATAACAAGTTAAATTTGTTATATACAAAATTGTTCGATCGAAAAGGATGCCAACTGTGTAAGCCAATTGCATTTTACTCCTATAATTTTGTTGACTTACGGAATCTAAAATACGATATAAAAAATTATGCTTTGATCGGAAAAATTAATTAACTATAATTTACTTTGTTAATTCTGTTAAAATGCGAAGCAATATTATACTTATATTATTAAACATTTTATTTAACTCGGAACAGCCAACCATAATTTACGTTTGATAGCATGATTTATGATTTCGGTAATTCATGATAAATAATCACGATTGTTTTCACCGATAATATTTATGGCTCTTAACGAATGCATGGCGCATTCCTTGTTCTATTTTCTCTACACTCTTCAATGTGTATTGAATATATTTTAGGTGTACTCGAAAAAATAAACTCGGATAAAAGTAGTAGATATTTACATTTTTTTTTTGGTGATGTGTGCATAAAATTAATTTAACAGAAAGAGACATCTTATTTCATGGTCTCCTTAGCTCAAAATGGACTACTTCCTAATCATGTACTTTTTTTTCTTAAAGATAAAATGTTTTCATATATATATATACACACACACACACAACTGAGGGAGTACTCCCCGAACACCTCTATATTATTGATTCAGCCACTGTAAATTTGCTAAATAAACTATAAGACAGTGGGTCATAATAATATGTTTGGATTTATCACTGTAAAATATTATCCCCTGTAGAATTCTATTCCATCAAATATCCGCATCTGAGCTATTTTCTGATATAATTTGAACTAAAACGTTTACATTACAAAAGAACACTATGCGTTTACTCCACGGTATATGTACTTATCACTGGTGTATATGTAGAATATTCAATCTTCAGATTCTTGACTCAACGTATAAAGGTCTCCAAATATGTGGATTACATATTTTTACCTTCCACAGTTGTTGGGGGTTGCATTTCATGTGTCTATGAGTGATTGACAACTCAAACTCTTATTAGTGAATCTCAATTGATTTAATATTGAGCACACTGGTTGATATCTGATTCATGACTGCTTCTTGGACCGTACATAGTTGGTCATGAAGGTATTTTGAAGATTCTTCTGTTGCTTAACTAGAACATGTTGAATATTAAGTAATTTTTATACTATTTTCGCAGTGAAAATTAATAAGTAAACGAGCGAGTTCCATTTCACTTTCGTCCAGAAAGTTTCTTAATTTTAATGGAATATTATAATAGTTCATCGCAAACAGAAGTCCAGTCTCTCAGAAGCCTATGTTATGACCGAGCTAACACAGCCTGTGCCGAAAGTCCAACTAATTTGTTCATAAACTAGCTAGGAGAGTAATGACATTATCAACGAATTATTGTATCAGTGTCCAATCAGAATTTCTTTGTCTTGTCTGTGTGATATCAGTTTATTTTGGATGTCATCGAAAGCAAGAACATGGCAATCATACATCTACTTGCTTTTATCAATTTGATGCAGTTATCGTTCTGAATTAAAGAGTGAGTTTAAAGTCTCTTATTGAATAAACATAGAAAAATTGAGTAAAAGGGAGAAAGATACATAACCTAAAAATTAATATTGGTTGAATTAGTGGTGTCATATTCTCTGGTTGGGTCGGGTTGCATGTTGTTAATCCAGAAAGATTCAACAGTTATTATATAAAGATTAATATCTTTACTCGTATGTAATCTTTGTGTCAATTTTTTTATCATATAAAAAAATCAGTAACTACTATAGACTGTTGGTGGTACAGTGTTTCCATTACTCATCATATGATATGATACCTCGTGTTACCCACCCAGGGTGCCAGCTTGCTGAGCATCTCAATTATAATCCCATAGGTTCACGGGTTTTCTTAACAAGTAAATATACAACGACACCAAAAACCATAAAACTAATTACACTTCTCCAACTTTCATTGCTCAAATTAATTTCAATCATTCACAAACAAGTTAGCATCCCAGACCTAATCCTTGTGATACTTAGTTATGTGAAATGGCTTTGAAGGCCACTACTGCATGCACTTATGTTGTTGCTCTACTCCTTTGTCTCAACATGCTTCCTGTACCATATATACTGAGCTCCACATACATCCCTGTAGTCCCAGACCCATTAGTGCCCTATCAAAAGGGTACATGTCCTATAGATGCAGTTAAGTTGGGGATGTGTTGGAAGTTTTGTATGAACTATATCATGTCATGTTTAAGTATACGTTAGACTATTTTATATATAATTAATTAATTTTATGTTGTAACTTTAATTTGGTATTAAATTTAAAGTTTATTTTTTTTATTATTGTCTTAAATTAAAAGTTATCTATTTGATAAAAATACTTTTTAATGTTTGTCTTGAACAAAAAATTATTCTTAAATATCCTTTGTCCTAGTTTAACACACTTCCTTGAATGTGAGGTGTTTAAAGTCCCACGTTACTTCTCTTATCTTGAAATCTTAACAATGTCACAATGGCAAAAAAGTTGCCCTTAAATTGGACAGTTTTTGTCGGAGGAATCATGTTGGACAGAATGTATTGGAATTCTCACGTTGCGTGACTTATATTCAAATCTTAACACATAGTGTTGAACATGGTCAATGTTAAATTGGGGTCACTACCAACCCTCCCATGCTGCAGCCTCATTAAGGATCTGGCTGATCTTGAAGTTGATGCTGTTAGATAATAAAAATTTCAGTTGAATTGTGTAATTAACAATTTCTATTCAGTGCCTTTCTCTCCATATTTATTGTAGACCCCTTTTTAGGTGCTTGTCTTTACACTGCTCTGAAAGCTAACGTCCTTGGCATCAACCTTAACCTCCCAGTTTCCTTGAATGTATTCTCAATAACTGTGGAAGGAAAAGCTCAAACACTGATTTCCAGTTCCCTTAAACTCATTGTTCCATCCACATGTGATCTTGGTCATGTTTCACATCTCTCCATGGTTATTTTCTCTTTTCAATTCATGTTCTGCTCCATGTATTATTTTTTCGGCACTTCTCATGCATTCGACTTCCTCACTCCTTCTATAATTGGAGGACTATTCATCACCCTCCTAGTCAGCATCTTTGATCGTTGTTTGCATCTACTAATTCGATCTCAACAATTGAATAATCAATTGAGATTAATTAATTATTCATATAAAAACTCTAATATCTTTTTAAGCTGAGTTTTTTTTCTTTATATTCTCCTTTTTTTTTAAGTTTGTATTCTTATTGTTATTAATTTTGACGATAAATTGGTAATCATGACCCATTTTGTTAGGATAATGAAATCAATCACATGGTTTAATTTTACTTCGAAACTTTCAAAAATACCAAATAAATTTCAATTATTTATTTCTCCGTGAATTTAATTCAAAATTAACATGATAATTATTTAAAACAAAAATACCATTTTTCCGCTAATATAAATTATTTTAAACATCCTTAACATTTCTACCGTTTTTAAAATAAAAAATACAGTTATTTGAAACAGTCTAACCATGGAGTTATTAAATAACAATTAAAAATAATTCTTAATATATTTTTACGGTGACATCATTTTAAACATCTCATTATACTTTTACAAGTTTTGTAATAATAAAATTCTATAAAAACTCATATTTGTATACTTTTTATTTGAATTTTTTTTTTATAATTTGAAAAATTAATAACCCACGCAAGCAATATTATATTTTATTATTCAGACTCGAAATCTTATTTATGATCCAACTTTTAATTTTAAGAATTTTATCGTCTTGCACGAGTTTTTAAAATGTGAATTTTTTTTATAAAATCTAATACTTAAATTTAAGACCCTTTTAACATATCTGTATTTAATATATTCTCAAATAAATTATATATGTCACGAGTTATATAACATTGTAGCTATCTGGAAATTAACTTTCATTAATAAGTTCTTTAAATACGTGAGATATTGTTAATTTATTTCTTAAAAATGAATTTTATCCTTAAATATATAGAAATTATAAATGATTGTTTCAAATATTTTTATAACAATAAAATAATTTCTCATATACTCTTAAAAATTCATTTCAATGAAAAGATATCAGTTTCATATGATTAACTACAGGACCTAATTGTTACATTTTATTTAACAAATATATAGTGAATCATATTTTTTTTCTTAGAAAATGAATTTAATACATTGAAGTACTTGATTGAGCATTTATCTTATTATAAATAAATATCTACTATCAAAATAAATGTCTATTAATTACTAGCAATTAGTATCTTATACACGAAGTGTACAAGTATTTATAAGCATATGTATATATAGTATAAAAATTTAATATTTTAATTTAACTGATAGTTCATTATTTTATTGATGATAAAAATATATATAGTTTTAATGTATAAAAATATAAGTTTTAGTTAATAAAGTTAAAACTATTATCTTCATAAGTGTGATTGTTTAAATGACAACTTTTCGTTAAGTTTAATTTTGATTAAAAACTAAAATAAAAAAAATAGTTAAAATATGGTTTAATTGGATATAAAATTAAGAAGAATTCTTAACTTAATAATAAAAAAAGTTGAGAAATGCGTCTCATATAATGAGGAAAAGGGTATAACGAGTTAATAATATACATTTAAATCTATAAAGGCCAATTTAATCATTTCACGTGTATTTTCAAAGTATGATGGATGTATAATTAAATCTGAATTATGAGGGTTGAATTATTTAAACTTACATATAAGTAAATTGGTCCTAGCTAGCATTCATAAAAAAATTCTATATCCAATTGTAGAATTTACTAGACACAAAAGTATAACTAATCAATTAAATTGTATATTGTATTTAGTTTCATTCTTTTAGTATAATTAAAATAATACAATTTTAATTTTGTTTACTCTCTACCATCAGTTAACGGTAGATATTAAAACTCTATAACATAGAACAAGTGTTTGAAAAATGGTTCCTTTATGCTCTTCCTCGACCTTCTTTTTCTTTTCTATGGTTCACCCACACCTTTGCCCTTCCCCCATACCACTTTTCTTCTTCTCCTCTTTACACCCCATTTATATATGTTGGGATAAATATATTTGATTAGTTAAATTATAGGTTTGTATAGCGGTACAAAATATTGTGTAATCAGAATTTTCTTTATTTAGTCTTGATTTGTTGAAGTAAAATATTATAAGATCATAGTATCTGTGTAAAAAAATAATATTGTTAGATAAATGACATCTAGAGGGGGTGAATAGATGCACAAATTAAAATAGATGTCAAATTAAAATTTATTTGTGAGTCAATAATTTGTTTGAACACAGATAAAACGGAAGCGATAATATAATCAGTAAAAGAGAAATAGATAAGGGAAAGAGAAGAACACATAGTGATTTATACTGTTCGGGTATATCCAACCCTACATCCAGTTCCTAGTCAACTCTTAACACAAGAGTGACTCCCAATTCACTATTTTTTAAATTCAGTTTACCAATTACATCAACTCAGAAGAAGAACCAGTAAAAAATAAACTAATTAAAAAGACAATCACCTCCTTAAAAACTCATTAAGGATAAACACCTCCCTAGAATCCCACTAGGGATGAACACCTCCTCTGAACAAATCAAAGGATGAAAAACACCTCCTTAGAATCCCACTAAGGATGAACACCTCCCTAGAATCACACTAGGGATGAACACCTCCCTGAACAAATCAAAGGGATGAAAACACCTCCTAAACCCACAAAGGATGAAGGAGTAAGATAAGAACAATCACACCTGGGTAATCGAGACAACAAATTGTAGAAGCCTGTAGAATGTCAATTTCCAAGAACAAGTGTGATTAACAATGAAAGCACAAATGACAGTAGAGAAGAGAGTTTTCTCAGAAGGTGTAAAATATCTCTGTTGCCTTGCTCATAATTCTTTTCTCAAAACTGATTGAATGTAAATTGTATTTTTGAATTCCGTAATTGTGTCTTTTTTATTTTTCATCAAAAATTAATTAAATAGAAAAATAACATCAGAAAATTGTCGTTGGACAATAATATTTTCGTGAATAAAAATCAGGATATATTCAAAAACATTTATTCTTCAAAACAGATATATTTTTCAAATTTGAATTGTCATAATTGATTATGTTACCAGTATAATTAATTATGACAGAGAAAATCATTTTTCCATTTATAATGCATCATAATTGATTATGACAGTGAAAAATATCATGTTATGAATTTTATCACACTTGTGCTTTAGAGGCTTATGCATAATATTACTTCATCAATTTGTACCTCCATACCAGTATTCTAAGACTCTATCTAGTCTTCAGGAATCATCTTGGGCTTGCTTGAATCATCATCTTTATAAAAAACATATCTTGGGCATGTAGGGAAATGTTTCACATTGTCACCAACGTCTTAAATTCAGCTTGTCCTTAATTTATCTTGAATGATGTTGACTTGAATGTAATTGACTTGAATCACCATCAAAATCATCTATTGGGAATATATGGACATTTCCATCAATCTCCCCCTTTTTGATGATGATCAAGGAAACACCTGAAATGAATTAAAATGTTTGACTCTATATAGCCAGCTCAAGATTAACACATATTTGTATCAAGTGTCAGAGTCTCTTAATCTCCCCCTGGATATATTAATAACAAGACTCTCCCTAACACATATGAGCAAAGACTTCTCTTAACTCCCCTTGTTTAATTTAGAGATAGGAATAAATTTCACACAGATTTTAATTCATTAAAAAATCTCCCCCTGTTTCACACATATTAATATCATCAAAATATCTCCTTATTTCATTGATAATTATGAAAAATATTGCAATAGAAATTGAGAACAAATTTGCACATATTAGTACATAAATCAAGACAGAGAAAATAATGCATTACAAAATGTTAATAGAGAAAAACATCATATTAAAGAGGCAATATCTAGGATACCCAATAGGGATGACAATTAAACTCGTCCCCGTGGGGACCGACCCGTCCCCACCCCGAGTTTGACGAGGAAAACCCGAGTTGACTGGGCGCAGGGGCGGGGGCGGATTCGGGTTTTCCCCGCTTTAAAAAGTCGGGGGCGGGGGCGGGGATGGGTAATGCAATCCCCACCCCGACCCCGTCCCGCCCGACTTTGTCCCCGCCCCGACTTTATATTTAAATTTAAATTTTAAAATATTAATATTTTTAAAGTATTTTCTTTTCTTTTTCTATTACATATAAGGTCATTTTTTTATATTTCACCAAATTATTTTTCTTCTACCCACTTTTTTTTTTTATCTTTTATATCAATTAATTTATTACATTATTCTTTCTCTTACCTTTCATTTTTTCACATTTCTTTAATCTCTCCCATCAATTTATTTATTTTTTCAATCATTTCAACCAATTTGATGAACACAAAGTTAATTTTTTTATTCTTTAACTTTTTCTAAATATTTTACATAAATATTAGTAGTAACTAATATTATTTTATTTATAATTTATATTTATTAGGTTTTATTATGTCATATTTTTTTATCTTAATAAAATAATTGTATTTTAAAGGATTAAAGGAATTGATAATTTAAATTTTTATTACTTCAAACTAATTGAATAAGAATTAACTTATTAAATATTTTCTTATAAACTATATATTTCATATTTTTAAATGACAACTTAAAAATGAATTAACTTATATATATAATTAAATGTTTGAATAAAGTATTATAATAATAATGTT